CGGATTCGAGGTCGGGGTCCTTCAGGCGAAGTCTTTTGACGTCCAGGCGGGGACAATAGGTGTCTAGCAGCTGGCTTTGGAGCTGGCGACTGCCCCTTGGAGATCCCTTATTTGGGGGTGGGGGGGCTCGAGCTTTCTGCGAGTAGGGGTGCGATCTCAGCTTCTAGAATTCCTTGGTGTGCGGAGCGAGCAGACTGTCATCCTGAAAGGTTTTTCTGAAAAAAGACAGCGGCGCTTCCCAAAAAACAATCGCCCAGCAACCGAGGTGTACTCTGCAGAACGTGTCGGGAGGGACTATGGTTGGTTTTGAAGTCTTAACTCCAGGCTCATGTTAAAAAAAAATCATCTTCAGCTACCCTGAGATGTATGTTTAACAGGCCTGAATATTACGAATTACTAGGCTTTCTTCCTTTTGTTTTAAATTTACGAAAAACTTTAAAGAAAAGCTTGAATGAAATACAAAACAAAAAAAATTGATAAGAATTATTCCAGACTTGGGGTAGGATAGGTTTGGACAGGGAACAGAAAATGAGTACCCAAGTGCTGGAGGAAAATGTATTAAAGGGAATATAACAAGTAGAAAATTCCGCAACATAATGTATGGCAATAGAGAATGACCAGTTTGTAAATTTAATTCTATGAAAAGGAGATTTAGAAAGAGTTCTACCAAGCCCACTGTTTCCTGGGGAATGAAATGAGTAATACTGGCTCCTGAGTAATACAGTGCATCCTCGGGGAACCTGGAGAAACAACAGCTGCCTCTGGCCTTGAGATACTGCAGTAGCTGCAAAGTCTGTTATCTATTCATTCAAATATTTGTTGAGCACCTGATTGTGCTAGGGACTCTTCAGTGCTAGGGATTGTGAACAACAAAAGAATCAATATAGCATACATTCTAAGTAAAAGGGAAAAAATATGTATCGGATAATGAAATGATAAAAAAGAAAATAGAGTGGGGGGGAGCCGTACTGAGTGACACGTCAGCCAGCTCTGAAGGAAGTGAGGAAGAAGGCCAAGCATCTAGCCTGGAGGAAGAATTTTCCAGGAGAAGGAATACCAAGGACCAAGATCTGATAGGCAGTACATGTGCTGCATGGGTGGCTCACGCTGTAATCCCAGCACTTGGAAGATTGAGGCAGGAGAATCGCTGTGAGTTCAAGGCCAGCCTGCACTACATAGTGAGTTTAAAGCCAACCTAAACCACATGGCGAATCCTTGTCTCAAAAAAAAAAAAAAAAAAGTATGCTTGCTGGGTTCAAGGATCAACAAGGAGGCCACGGGGCCAAGACCAGAGTGGAAGATGTTAGTGGCAGAAAAGGGGAGCCGGTCTTGTAGAGCCTGATAAGCCACCGTGAGGACTTTGTCATAATACAGAGTGAAATGGGAAGTCTTAGGTTCATGATCAACCTGTGCTTTTAACCACTCTTGCTGCTGCACAGTTTATAGACAACATATAGTAGAGATGAGAAAAACGATGAAGCAGGGCCCAGGATTTTAGCTCAATGGCGCCATGCCTGCCTTGCAAGCACAAGGTCCTGAGTCCAATTCCTGGTACCAAAAAAAGAAAAAGGAAAAAGGATGGAGCAAAAGCTGAAGCTAGAAACCAAGCACATCATGGGGACACACACCTGTAATCCCAGCATTCAAGAGACTGAGACGAGAGGATTGCCAAGAGTTCAAGGCCACCCTGAACTACATACATATTGAGACCCTGCCTCAAAAAAAAAAAAAAATGCAGAAGCTAGGAGACCAAGAAGGAGGTATTGCCTTATGTGGTGGTATCTAGGGTCAGGGTCACACTGAAGGCGATGACAAGGTTGGATTCTCCTATTATTGTAATGTGTTATGCTGACTAATTGTAAGATGAGAGAAGGGAAAGTTGAGCTAAAGTTATTGAATAGTTACATACTTGGCATGATAGTAAACAATTATGCAAGGCCAGGAGGCTAGAAAGAAAATGACAGTCCGTAGCTCCTTGCAATTCCAAGTGTGTTCACCCCAACCATCAGTACCATAATCCCCACTACCTCAGATCCCAACACAGACCTACTGAATTAATACACATTTTAACAATCTTCAGGAGGTTTCTATGTACATTAAAGTTGAAAAACCACTGCTTGATTCCTCAATACTTGACCAATCACTTTGAGAACAAACATGAAATGTCCTGGTAGACAAATGCTCCCCAACCCTACAACTCAGAGTCTCCTGTGGTTGAACCCACCAATGCTGAGCTTTAACAAGCCCTCTAGGAGATATTGATGCTTGTGAAAGTATAAGAACCAAGGACTTAGAGGCCTCTTAATACTTGTTTTGAGTTGAAAATGGTTTATGATAAACTGTACCAAAGAAAAGCCCCTTATGCCTTTCCTTGGCGTATTACCTAGTAGCAGTTACTTTACTATGGTCAAGACTCCTGGAAGCTAAATAAGGCTTTCATCAAGGGAAAGAAAATATTTTGGCGGGGGGAGCAGGACACATGAGTCAATGCATATGACAAAGAGTCTCAATGGGAAGTTCATCTTATCCCAGAGGATGTCAAGAAAGACCTCAAGCAATAGTATGACTGGCACAATATTTTGTCCCATCTTATAGCCCATAGGGTATTAAGATAGGCTAGGTTATGTTGCAACAGAAACTCTCAGAGTTCCGTGACTCACAGCAATCTGCAAACTACAGTCTTGTGGCCAAGGCCTTTCATCTGTTTTTATAAATAAAATTTTACTGGGATCCAGCCATATCCACTCAAGCACATATTTTCTGTACACATAGAACAGAGTTGAGTGGTTGTAACATAGACAGTAGGGTGTGCAGAACTTAAAATACTATCTCTTCCTTTAAAAGAAAAAAAATTTGCAAACACCTGCTTAAAACTGATGCACACCCATCACAGTTCAGTAGAATGCTCCACTCATAGTAGTCACTGGGCAGAAAGGCCAATGGAGAAGTCATATCTCAAGTGTTACTGCTTATTGTGCTGTATGGAAAGAGAGCTCGGGTGTCTCTAGTAGTCAAATGCTCCACATAGGCAAACATGCAACATGTGTCTTAGTCACATAACCCCACCTAACCATAAGGGGCTCAAGAGATGTCAGATACCAGGAAGGAAACTGGGTGAATCCAAAACACCTGGTGAACATGGCTGTCACTTCCTGCCATACACCGCTCCATCCCATTTCCTTGATATCTGTGACATTCTTACAGTATTAGCAAGTCCAGGAAGACCGGTAAATACAAGACAAGCCTTTAGGCTGATTTCCTGACAAGCCCAATGCCATGATCTCCATAAACCAAACTTGTCTATTTCCTCCTTGACAAGAGACAGGAATAAAAGTATGTGATTTTCTACTATGTTACTGTCATGCTATGGCCTTTTTTCCCCCCTAATCCAAAGCCACATAGTAACATAGGGTCATTTTATCACTGAAGTAGGAAATTTAAAGGGTTTTCCCATCTTATCACTGGGAAAGCAGAGTATGTCTTCATGGAAAACACTTTCACAAGTGTTCCCAAAACTTGGTACTGAAATCATGCAACATATCATTATATTTTAATAACACAACTTTCCCAGGCTGCATTCACCTGTTTAATCCATTAGACCACAGCACTCTGAAGTGTCCAAAGTAATTGAATGACTTATCCTGATAATTTTGGCAAAATAATGCAACTGCTTCAACTTGAACCACCAGATAAGCTAATGCCAAGTTCAGTTGTAGCAAAAGATCTTTCATGTGAATTGCGTGAAGTGTTTCAGATTGACAGAAACCTGGCCAGAGTGTGAACCACATGGCTCACACAGCTTAAAAGCTCTTAAAGTCTCTTAAATTTGTCATTTCAGTACCAATCGTCAGTTGACATCACCATCATAATTTTCCAGCACTGTTTTTATGATAATTCAGCCAGTTTAGTTAACTATGTGCTAATAAGCCACTAACAACCTGAGCTTTCAGGAAGGCAGCAGTTATTTTCTGTTACTGTTACTCTGTTTTGTCTTTTCATCTCTGTGTTTAATAGCATGTCTGGCACGGATATTTTGCCAGTAAATACCTGCCATGCTTTAACACATCAGTGTGGTGTTCATTTTGTCATAATAGAT